TCTTCCTCAAGTTGGTGCAAATATATCACAAATACTCAACTTGCAGATCAAGTTTTTGAAGAGATTTGTTGCTTTTGTCATGATTTAAAGTAAAAGAGAAAGAGTAACATCCAATAGCTAATCTCACAGGGATAAAACAAAATTTCTAACCAGTACCCACAGAGTTAGAAAAAATAGGGTCAGGCTGGAAAGGAAATAAATTACAAGCATGGAGGTAGTGACCGGAAACAAACTAGTATGGTGGCAAAGGCGGCGGTGCTCAGAAAAAGGACAAGAAAAGATTGTAGGAGTGGCTTGCGCAGAGAAACTGAATTGGCACCAGATCGTGAAACCAGAAGGTGGATGCGCGCGTAGGAGCTGGATCGGCGTTTATATTGCAAAACTAGAGGCGGACACATGCGAAGGAGTCGAATCGGGAAACTAGAAATGGCTCGTGCGCTAAGGAATCAGATTTGGGCCAGATCGCGAAATCTGTCCCGATGCAGTCAAGTTTGCACGACAGAGGGTAATATGTGTCGGATCTGTCAAGCCGGTTCCTGTGCACACACCAGAAGGCTGATTCGAGCCAGAGGAGACGTTTTCCGGTGGTGCATGTGGCTCACGCGCTTCTGCTGCAGTAGCGTGTGTGGCTCACGCGCTTTAGAGACGGTCACCAACTTAACATATTTTGTTCTTTTAGGATTTGGAAAAAATTTTGAAATTAGAACCCTAAATCAACCTTATTTTGGCTCTAATACTATATTGATTTTTAGAGGAAAAATATTCTCATTTATTTTTTAAATCCTTTATATTATTACATATGAGATATATATAGAGAATTTTTTCGTACAGAGAATGAAATTACTATTCTAATTAAACAACAAAATATTCTAGTCAAAAGTAATTATGATTCTCTTTGTGCCCGTGAGTTTTGAAGCTCATGTGATCTCTCATGTGAGATTGAATTGTGTCCCGGCCATGAGTTGTGATTTGTGCCACCTAGATTCGTATAAGCTTTTATTCATGCTAATTTGGAGGAAGCAATATATATGAAGATCTCTCTTAGCTTTCTAAAGAAAACTAAGAGATGATATGGAGTGTAGATTAAAGAAAGCACAATATAGTGTGAAGCAATTACCAAGGGCTCAGTTTGAAAGATTTTTCAAGTAATATTTGCCATTGGGTATAAAAAGTAAAGAAGATCATACATTCTTTATAAAACACTCGAATTCAATGGGGGTAATGCTTCTTTTGATTTATATTGATGACATAATTGTGATAGAAAATAATGATAAATATAAGGAAAGCATTGAGAAGATACCTAGTCAGAGAGCTTGAGTTAGTAGAACTTGGAAGACTTAAGTACTATCTAAGAAGTGAAGCAGCCCCTTTGAGTGAAGACACCTTTATTTCATAGTAAAATTATGTTATCGATCTCCTAAGAGAGGCAAGAATGTTAACATTTACACTTGTCTCTTCACCAATTGAGCAAAATCACAAACCAGGAGAGGCAAATGAAGATCTAGCTATAGACATAGAAATGTACCAAAGACTGGTGGGAACAATTATATATCTTGCTCATAGAAGACTAGACATTGCATACGCCATGAGTATGATTATCTAATTTATACATAGTCCTAAAGATGTTTAACTTCATGAAGTCTACAATATATTGCATCATCGAAAGACTAATCTTGGCAAAGGAATTCTATTGAGAAAGAATATTGGATTAGTTCTTCAGGCATAGACCGAAGTAGATTACACAGTCTTGCTAGTTGATAGATAGTTTACTGCAAGTTATTATATATTCCTTGAAGGCAATTTTGTGACCTGGAGAGTAAGAAAGAAAATGTGGTTGCTAGATTAAGTGTAGAGATAGAGTTCAAAGTGATGACACAAAGAGTGTGTGAATCATTGTGATTTTAGATAATTTTGGAAGATTTAAGGATCAAATAGGATGGGAAAATAAATAATTTTTGTAACAACATGTTTGCCATTCTTGAATATATTATCATTTCTATTTTTTTTTTAAAAGTCTGCCATTGACATTGCTTGTAATATCGTGCAACATGACATAACGAATCATTTTGAAGTAGATAGAAATTTCATAAAGAAAAAGTAAATAGGATTCCAACTATTTAAAAATTTAATACTAATTAGAATTCTATATTTAATTGAACTTTACCCTCCTATTCAGTCGTTGTCTTGTCTTCCATATTTAAACCCTACAAATGCGTGCATAACATATTGCTATTGGGTTCTATTGTGGGTTCAATGTTTTCTCTTATTATTGCTAAATATATTCGTAGCGCCTTGTGGATTACTTGCTTGTATGGTCCCACTATCAGGATTGAGATTGTTCCTATGGTAGGAAGTGTCTTTGGTTAGAATCCCATGGAACTCTAGATTTCAGGAATGAGTGTTTTTTCCTTTTTGTGGCGGTTTTGGAGGTCTGTTGGTTGTTTGGAATAAGAGGGTTGTATTGCTATTGGGTTCTGTTGTGGGTTCATTTTTCCTCTTGTTGTTGCTAAACATATTCATGGCAGCTGGTGGATTACTTGCTTGTATGGTCCCACTCTATGATTGAGATTGTTGCTACTGTAGGAATTGTCTTCTCTTTTATGGATTGTGCTCTCTCTTTTGTTTTCTTTGGAAAACTTACATGTCTGTAGGAGTTGTGCTAAAAACTTAATTGGTTTAACCACATAATTTTGATAGGGTTTAAGCAACTATGAATGATGGCACATCATATGCTAACCTTACATGCTTCCAACATAGAGAAATATGAATACTTGAAAAGAATGTAGAGAGTTCTTGAAGAGTCTATTGAAGTTAAGAAGACTTCTTTCTAGTAAGTTCATGATTGATTTAATTTGTGAAGAAATAACTCTCTCCAGATGTGCTAGGCACATATGCATTAATTTGCAAATGCTGACAAAAAAGGATCCTCAGTAGAGGAGAGATCTTTTGATGGAAAGTGTAACATGAGTTGCTATGTGGGAGAAATAATCCAGTAACTTAGATTTGCTCAGAGGGAAAGCTTAAAGAATATTATTTACATATTTGCATTGGATGAGGATGTTATATTTTTGTTCTAAGACAGTATTTGTCTACTTCATTATGGAAATGAATTTATGGTTAAGGCATTCCATCTGATTGTTCTCTGTTCATTTAAAAATCTTGTTCTATCAATTGAAATAAAATGAAAAAATTAGGAGATAAATCAAATAGATCTTACATTCTAACTATGTCTTTTTCAAGTGGGGTTGACAGTTCCTTTTTTGAGGTGGGAGATAAGAATCGAAAAATTCCACCTCAAAGGATTCAAAGTGAGAATGGAGGTGGCTGACGTAAAAAACAATTTAAACTTTACAAATTAATACTGAATGAAAACTAAATGTGGACCTTAATATTTTTTCACCATGTGAAGTTTAAACTATCATTGTCTTGTAGGCTGTTTTGAAGCATTTGGGTCATTTTGGTAATGAAGCTGTATTAATTGATGAAGCTGAACTTCAGTGTCACCAACAGCTCCAAGATCTATACAGTTCAACAAAGGCAGCAAAGGTAGAATCATCAAGCTTTTGCCAATCAACTTTAAGATCAACGAATGAATAATATGATGCTAAGTCAGCTTATAGCCTTATACATAACTGATGATTTAAGCGGACAAAGTCCTAAAAATTATTATGTCCACAGCATTTGCAGAGGAATATTGTTCGTGGAATTGAAGGTTTTATTGCTACAAGCTCAAAGCTGATGGAAATATGTGAGTGTAATTCTCCTATTAGTAATATTTTGGTTTCATTTGGTCGGTTATGTGAATTTCAACTTTACTATTTTAGCAAGAAAGTTAGCCGAAGATTGTAAAAAATATGGAGTTGAGAATCAAAGCATTCAATCTCCTCTTGCAAGGGCTTCTCTTCAATTTGGAACTTCGCATAAATCAATGGAAGATGAGAGGGCATCCTTGCTCGGTGTTCTTGCTGAACAGGTGATTTTCCAGACTTCTTTATTTATATCATGTTTAAAATATTTAACATGTTCTTGAAATGTATGAAATATCAAACTTTGATTTAATTGTCTAATAGGAGAAAGAAATCTAGGGAGAGGAAGGGACTCCTTTTGTTGCAAATTTTCTGCTTACATGTCTGAGAAAATGAGCAAAATTTGAAGAGAGAATTATTAAAAAAAGAATTATGGTTGAGTTTTGAGTTAGTCTTATGGCAAGAGCAATCTGTTGAGGCAATGAATTGCCATCAACTAGCTGGTCACCCATTTTCTCTGACCTAAACCCCAAAGCTCATTACTCACCAACCAGTCCCAAAAATTCTTCCCATACACACCCAACCTTTCAAAATGATCACCAAAGAGTAACTACAACCAAGAAACCAAAAAGCTACAACCCACGACCAGCAGGAAGGTAGGTGCAGTAACTTGTGTTACCGGTGTGGAGAGAGGTACTTCTCAGGGTACTAATGTAAGGTCAAAACAGTCGTGGGCGCGGAGGAATATTGGGAGAAAGTCGAGGAGAAGAAGGAAGAAAACATGGAAGAAGAGAACCAGGAGACTCTTGAGGATAAAAGAGGACCGTCATGATATTTTCAGATAGCAGAAGTTCTTACACCTTTAAGGAGTCTTCGGTGGCAGAAGGACTAAAAAACAGGTTATACACGACAGGCCTCTTGCAGTTGTCATGGCAAATGGTCATAAGGTGACTAGTGAAGAAGAGTGCGTTGGGGTTCAATGTAAAATGCAGAATTGTGTATTTTATTACAACTTCAGAGTTATTCAGTTGGGCGGTTATGACTTGATTCAATGGATGGACTGGATGAGGATGTATTATCCCATAACATTTGATTTTGCAAAACCTCAAAACATTACACGAGGTAAAGGTTCCAGATAGGTTAATTAAATTGACAGGTAAGAGGCTCAACAAAATACTTAAAAGGGGAGGCGGCCAAAGTACGGTTAGAGTTTATTGCCTGTGGTCCATGGAAGAATTGTGCACAGCCTTGCTTTGGAAGATGCAACTATAAAAAAAGCAGCCAGATGGCCAAGTTTTGCAATCATTTCGAGATGCTTTTGAAGAGCCTGAATGGTTGCTACCATCTAGAACCTTGGACCATGCCATACCTCTTGTGGCTGGCAACTCCCCTATCAACTTAAGATCCTGCCAGTACCCGCACTTCTAGAAAAAGGAGATTGATCAACAAGGGAAGAAAATGCTAGATGTTTCAATAATGAGCATGAGCCATTCTCCATTTGCATCCCAGTTGCTGTTATTGAAGAAAAAGGATGATACTTGGACGTTTTATGTTGATTATAAAGAACTTAACATAATTATTAAAGACAAGTTTCCACTTCTATCTTCTTGATGAGTTGCATGGAGCAACAGTATATTTCAGATTGACTTAACGTCTGGGTACCACCAAATTTGTGTGAAGAGAGATAGCTATGAAATAGCCTTTCAAAGACATATGAGCTCTATGAGTTCCGTGTATGCCTTTCGGTTTGACTGATGC